AAGGAATTGAAGGATTGTCCTAAAATGCTTGAGACGAAGAAAAATAATGTAGAAAAGCCTTTATATAGTGGTTGTACTGATTTCACATTATTAGTAGGGGTGTTGAATTTGTACAACTTGAAAGCGAGCAGTGGATGAAGTGATAAGAGCTTCTGTGAATTGCTTACACTTCTTAAAGTAATGCTACTCAAAGTGAATGAACTTTCTATCCACATATATCAAGCAAACAAATGTTATGTGCTATTAGCATGAGCTATAAGAAAATTCATGCTTGCCCAAATGATTGTATATTGTTTAGAAAATGAATATAAATTATTAACTAAGTATCCAAAATATAAGGTATCTCACTTCAAAGGTAACGGGAAGAGTCCAGAGAAGGCATTATAATATTTTCTTATTGTGTCTAGATTCAAACGAATGTACAATAGCGAAAAAGATGCAAAAAGATTAAAGTCGCATCTAGATGAAAATATTAAAGATGAAAAGTTATGGCATCCTGCTGACTTTCATCAATAATGAGGATTGATCATGAGCCTCCTAAATTTAGACAAAAATCAAGGAAGTTACACTTTGCATTATCTACAAATGGAATGAATCCGCATGGGCTCCAAAGTAATACCTATAGCATTTGGTCAGTGATTTTGATAATTGATAATCTACCTCCATGGTTATGTATGAAACACAAATACATGATGCTTTCTATGCTAGTTTCAGGGCCAAAACAACCCAAAAATAACATAGACGTGCACTTGGCTCTTTAATTGAAGACTTCAAGTTATTGTGAAAGATAGGGTTGAGATATATGGTACGTATAGGAACGAGAAATTTAATTGATAGCCTTGTTACTTACATCATAAATGAATTTCCGGCATACGGTAATTTATCGAGGCATAGTATAAAAGGGAAATTTGGATGTCTTGTTTGTGAAAAAAACACATATTCAATTTTCTTGAAGCATGGTATAAAGAATATAAAAATATAATCAAAATATACCTTATCATAAATTTTAATTTTCTTGAAATTTCTAGGTTATTATATTCACCATCTTCATAAATGTTTTTATTTATAATTGATCTTCATAAATGATCCATTAGATACATGAGTATAGCTATTAAATACTTCATCTTCTCTCCTTGCTTTCTGCAAAAAAGATGCAATGGCACAATGCTTTTCGGCTGACTTTCGCGACCATGGCAAGGTAAGTAACGACTCTTTGCATTTATTGCTCTGACAGAACATAGGTAAGGTTTATACTAGTAGGGCCAATGCTACATGAGTATAAAGGATATTTAATGAATTAATAAGAGCTTAATCCTACCCAAAGTTGTGTTTAAAAGAGTTCTAGGAAGATTATAAGCTTAACACAACTCACAGAAAGTGAAAATAATGGATACATAATGAGTTTCAAAGAACATGATGTCGAACACATAAAACAATGCATGTTTCTTGATGTTTATATTGAAATAATAACCATGACACCAATATAGTCAAGAACGATTAAAAATTTCACACAATGTTCATTATTTCAGAATAACTCAATCATATCAGAATAAATCTTCATAAAAAAATGATGATTAATGAGACACTATAATAGATTATATCTAAACAAAGCAAATTACACCCATATAAGAAGATTATACAGGAATAAGAGGATTTATACCCAAATAAGGGTCACTCTTCCTTAATAACAAGATAAACAGAGACTAGAGAGAATTTAGAGGAATAAGCCACTATACTGGTGTAAAGGAATCATATCAGTATAACCAAAGATATTTATATAGGAATAAAGAGGCTATATAGGTATAACGTAGAAGCCAAGAGAATAAGAAAAACTTCTACCAATATAACGAAGCTTGTACCGAAATAAAGGACCATTTTAGCTTTAATTGCATAGAAGCTTTCAAATTTTGATTTTGCTTAGGTAACAAGAGTTTAGAATACCTGAAATACTTCTTAAACAATGAATTTGGTCCAAGAAAAATTCAAGATAAGTCAAATACTTAAATTTGAAAGGAATCTCAATGAAAATTAACCTTTGAAACACTTGGAGATTCTTGGTTATTTTGGTATAAGAGATTTATATGGGAATAAGGAACCTCTAGTCAGATTTCAAGCAAATTAACACAGTTACCCTTATGTCATTAATCCTATTTAATTTTCCTTGCTGAACAAAATCTTCTCTTATTTTGTGATCATCAAAATCAAAGTTCAACAAATTTCACTTCAAATGGTGTTCTAACCGTCATTTATTAGGCATCATTTTGTCTAATTTCTGTAGTAGTGGAAGCAAGGAAGTTGTCTTTGAGGATCTCAATAGGTCACTAACATGGTGAATTATACTAGCGAGGGTATATTATGAATTGAAATAAGTGTGTTGTGCAAGAACAATAATATATTTTAGAATGTGAAAAATATTAATTGGAATAGAATGATATTTTAAGGAGAAAGATATCAATGTAAATAAGGGTGATATTTTTGAGAAAATTTGAAATAAGTGTTCCTTTGAGTTTGAGGATGATACACAAATAGATAAGTTCTTTTACAATAGACGAGTGAGCATACAGGGAAATAAAATTTGATAAGTGTACTGAAGGGAGGATCATTGCAACGTTATTATAAGTATAGATGAGAAGGAGGGTAAAAATAAATTGTTAAGTTTCACAACCCTCTTATGGGAGTCAAACAATGATAAGTTATGGAAAGAAGGATGTAAAGAACTGACAAGTGTAATAGGAAGGAAGCTAGACACAAATGTGATAATGTTTATCCGAAAATCCCATATAAATAGCAAGTAGAACCAAGTTGCGGTGGTACAAACGTGGGAAAAACCATATTTTAATCAGAGGAGCTTTATCATGGATGGTGTTGTTCACCGTGGCGTAACGTCAAAACATAATGTCATAAAGTGAGCCCTTTAATGATTGTATTTTGAAACTTTTCTGCTGTAGTAGTTATTTCTTTTATTAGTTTAAGCTTCTCTACTACAATGGATCTTTAATTACTTGGTTTACATCTTTTATACCATTATAGCATTTTTCTTTGGTTTTCCAAATTATTAAGTAAAAATATTTTTACCATAATAGATTCTTTTCTACAATGAGAGTATTTTTTTTTCCAATTACTAAGTAAATTCATTTTTTCAACCATAGCAGACATTTTAAGCATTGCTTGTCTATTCTATCATCATGGTGAAGTTACTATAAACAACGCTCAAACCTTTCTACCATGGGAAGATTTATGCATTAGTTTTCATTAATTATCATGGTAGGGCTTGTTAATGTTGTTTTGTAATAGTTATTTGTAAAACTCTTATAGTTTTTATTGAGTATAATACAAGTATATGCTCCATGTATGTGCGATGCACAGGAAAGTAAACGCAAATTATTAAGTTGGAAGTAAATTGTTATTACCAAGGAATGCTTACCCTATATTTTCACCATGTTCTTAGGAAGCTTCTATGTTATCTTGGCTTCTTTCTTCATTGATCATTTTGTTGTATAGCTAGGTGCAAATTGGTATTTTTGGATAACCAATATTGCCCCTTATAATGCTTGTTTGACTATTTAAGTAATAAATATATCTTATCCCATCCATTCAAAAAAACAAAAAAATAGTAATTGCAGTTGTCATGGAAAGCAATAGTTAGATTGAAAATAATATTTTCCATGAATGCTTCTATAAATATCTTAACTACAAAGTATTTTTGCTTAAGCGCATAATTCTTATAAGTTATTCGATAAATGAAATATAGAATCAACTATTTGTTGTTCTTTCCTTTTTTTATAATACTATTTGTTGTTCTTTCAAGAATTTGGAGCATGGACGGTCCCAAGATTTTGAATTAAGGAAATTAAAATAAACTAAAGTCAACTACCAAATAATTCAAAACTTAGTCATTTAACATAACAACTTTCTATGTGTGTTTGTGTTTAAAGACTAGTTTGAAGGGTCGACATAAAAACCTGGTATCTGTCATCAGAGTATTATGACAACACTACTGTGTTTTGTATGATTGATTAATTCTCAAGTACTACGCAACGAAGCATCAACCTTCACACCAATTTTTCTCCCACAAAAGAAGCAAGACAGACAGTGATTGATCCAATTGGTATATGGACTATTTGTCAAACTATTCCATTCAAGACCAGGGCATGCATTGTTAATGCACTTAAGGTTAAGGTGAAAGTAAATTAGGTCAAATTAGATTTTAACTAAATAGAGTTGAGCCTATATAATAAATCAAAAATCCTGTATAAAGCACTTTTTACAGCTCAAAACTGAGCATATCTAAAGCCTCTAAAACCCTATTTAAAAACTTACTTAAAAATTAACTTTTTAAATAAACTTGCATTTTAATTTTAAATGTCTCAATATACTCTAAGATTATTATAATATACAATATGTAATCTGATTTATCAATTACAATATATAATAATTGAAAAGACTTATCAACTATAATACAACAATAAAATAATATTAAAATTAATATATAAATCCAATATGATTGAAAATATAATTAAAAATTAAAAATGGACTGATTGAAATCAAATAATAAAACTTATGTGTTGTGATATATTACAGTGAGTGTGTGCGCACTGCGTGCAGCTAGCTTGTTGGGTCCATAAGTTAAGCCTTTACAAAAATATAATAAAACCTAACCTACTTAACTAAATAGAGCTAATTAAAAGCCCAAACATATGTAGTAAATAGGCTATTTTAACCTGAATTCCCATCCCTATGCTTGAAGCACATTTTAAAGACATATTAAGTTAAATTGAAAAAATGAGTTTAAACAAAAATAAATAAATAATTTTTTTAAGATTTTCTCATTTTTTTATTTTTCTTTTAATTGTCCGGTTCATTGCGATGAACCAGTTTGCTCTAACTGGTCTTCAAGATTGTTGACCAAGTCTCTCAGGGCCGCCTTCCAGCGTTGGACTGGACCGGACCAAGAGGTGGTTTGGTCCAATCTGAGTTTTAAAACCTCAGTCAATACTTGCTACAATATGAATGCATCAAGAATTTGATAACTGAATAAGTATTAAATATGTATTAATAAAAATATGGAAAGACAATAATGATAAGTCAATTTGAAATGCTATGATATCAACTATTTATACGAAAGGAGAAAATTTACTCCAAATAAACTCCATCAATAATTCTAATCAACTGCTCAGAAACTCAGCTATCAAGAAGGATCATCAGCACCCTGGCCAATCTTTTTGAACAATCATTTGGTTTTCCTGATTTCCATGGACATACACTTTGGGCTCCTTAACCTGCAGTGGATCAAAATCATATAGAACTACATTTCAAAGCCATTAAGCATTCAATTTTTGAGTTCATTGCCACAACTGACCAGTGCAATCGGTGGAAATTCAAATCTAAAACGAGCTCTAATGAACCCATCTTCGCTGAATAAACACTTGAACCCATCACCACTGGGCATTCACTGTTAAATAGATTTAAAAAATATCAGATATACCAAACAATTTCTTGTAAATACTTATTATAGCATGACACATGAATTTGTCTCCACCATATCATTTCTGAAATAATTCTTTACATACCTCACTGATAATTATCTCTTCCCCATTATTACGCCTAGTATATGAGCGATTACTTACATGAGAGAATTACACGCAAATCCACCCACAACAGAATTAAATACCACAAGGAAGTTGTTAATTGACCTTGTGATATTTAACTGTGTTGTGGGGAATCTCAAAGTAATTCTCCCATCATTTAACAGTTGAAAAGTTTATTTGTGGAAAAAGAGGAGAAAGACAAGTTAAAAGAACTCACTTTATGAGAAAAGTAAAATTTCTCAGGGGGAATTCGTGCAAGCTTATGTGTTCTTCTTTAGAATATCTGCATAAGAGAAACATAGGAACACACGTTATCCTGAAAGTTCAATGTCACACACCAATCATTAAAATAACGCCTTAGAATTTTGTTGTGAAAAAAACCTATTACTGAGATCTTTGCCATTGCAACCTTTTTTTTTATTTTAAATTTAAAATCTCAACATCATCCGAGAATTTACATGATGACAGCGGCAGAAGGACCAAACATTTCCGTATTTTGATAAAAAAAGACTTATGTACTTAACTTTGTATACTTAATATATTTTTATCCAATCAAATCAACACAAGTGGATTTTATGTGTAAAAATGTGTTAATAATATTAATAATAAGAGTTTGTTATAGAATAAATAATCTATAAAAAATCCACATCTTAATTTAATTTGAAACAATTACTTTCAAGTGTTTAAGCTAAGAGATAGGGAGATAGGGTGGCTGGGTAGAACATGGAATAAACAGTGTGGGATTGTGAAAAAAGCTTAATATACCTCCACGGGGAATCACTTTCACAAAAGCGGGATATACCATTCATGGCTGAAAAGGTGTCAATGTGAACCCACTGTTCATTCGCATCGTTAAGAACACCTGCTAAGAGCAACAATCACAGACTCTGTAAACAGATTTAAGATAGTGCAATACCTAGAGACATCATAGAAACGAAATGTGACAGTACTCGATTGTACATTATTAGGCATCCAGCGTTTCTAAAGACATAAAAGAACAGGATGCTAGCCAGTCACTCATCCCCATGATGTACCCAATCAAGCATTGAAACATCAGCGTCAGAATTCATTTGGTATAGATATTGCCATTGAAATATAGAGTCATGTTCTAGAGCATAACTATTAGTTGAACAAACTTCATCCTACTAAAAAACAGTTGAGTATCGTACCTTCAATGCTACAAGAATTGTTCATAGAAGGCATAATATAAAAAGGTACATTAAAGGATATAGTGTAGAACTATGATTCTTCTCCTGGTCAATATCAGACTCATTGTATATTCCTTGCCCTTTTTATTCAGTTAACTTCACATTTTAAAAGACTTTTTGGCCAGTAGTTTATGCTAGACTTTAATATAAACTATGCTATTTGGTAGTCAATGGGCTTCAAAAGGACAAGAATATAAAGTTGGGGTAATAGAGATTAGGATGCTGTGATGGGTGTGTGGGCATACAGCAAAAGATAAGATTCATAATGAACAAATAAGAGAAAGAGTTTGCACAGTATCTCTTAAGGAAAAATGGTAAAAAAATCATTTGAGTTGAGGTAGTAGAGATGAGGATGTTCCAAACTTTGGACTTGTACAAAGAAGATCATTAGAGGTGACGGTAAAAAAAAAGGAGAACAAAATAGTCTTAAATCTTGTGAAGACAGGTAGAGGTAGCAGAAAACCAAAGAGAACTCTTAATAAAATTATTAAATGAGAATTTTTGGTTAACAATATATCCAAAACTTGGTTATTGATAGAACACAATGGTGTCACATAATCCATGTAGCCACCCTACTTAATAAAATAAATATTGTTGCATGGCCAGGCATTTAGGAATAATTACTCCTTTGAATTGGTTCATCCCTATATAGCGGCACCCATTGTCTTTATCACACTCGGGGTAATAAACTCATCAGTTATGACTCATTCCACAGCAAATATCACTTCTCACATACTTTTCCCATTTTTCATGAGACAGATAGCTCAATCATTGTTCAGTCTTTTAAAATATTTGAATCAAACAATGAGGCAATGTGTTAAATGCCAATAATTTTATATCTCATGGTAGCTGATAAAGTAAACAAGTAAGACAAAGATAAGAAAGATAAGGTGGAGAATTTAGAAAATGCTTTCGACAGATATTGCTTGACCGCGGATAATTACAGAGAGATTAGTTACTCCTCACTGTATATGACGCATCCACACACTAGAAACATCAACAATAGGCACTAGAGCCTTAACAAGGACAATACACTTTAACAGAATATAAATGTGTGCTCAAGAGTTTGACCCCCACAGCCACCGAATGAAAAAATACAATGATACTATATGTTAGAGATATGAAATATTCATTATTTACTATAAATTATTGTAATCAGCTTAATTATAGGAATTAGGGTTATAGTAGGCCATTAAGATTTAAAGATAGAATCACCGTAATAAGTATTTTGAAAGCGATAAAATCCCAATCCTATAAACAGATATAATTGTAAATTACCCTTAGCCTTTGGCCTATAGAGAGGCCCTCAACCCTTGCAAAATCATCCCAGAATCATTTGATAGAGTTCTTAATCACGAAGCCCTTTGCTAACGTACAACAGGAACGCAGCGGCTTAAAGTCAGAAATTAGGCTCTATTTTTATATTAGTAATCGTATAAGGTGATGTGTTTGTCTTAATAGTTTAATACCATGACATGTCGTCATGTAGCTATGATACACAAATGTTGATTAAGTTAACCAACAAGGTCCGGCACAGTTGGCAGATAGCTAGGTCTCTTAAACATGTAGTCAGGAGTTTCAAACCTAGCTATGCGCACGAAAGACTTTGTTGGGAGAGGCAAGCTCACTTTGGGATCACTCAGCCTCGAAGGGGATTAATCTTTGACCGTAGCCTGTGTTGGAAATTGTGCCCTAGGGCCAATCATTGTACTATGCACATTGTTATTTAATGAATTACTCTTTTATTATCATAACAATTGCATGTTCAATATGATAATTGTATCCCTGAACAAATTATAGTGATTGTCCTAAATACCCCTGGTCAGTCATCTTTGAGGGATCATAGATGAAATAAGACTAGTATGGCTTCGATTAATTATAGAGGTATAAATTAAAGTCATAGGCACTTGAAAGAGTACAAGGTGCTGGACTGACCTACTATAATAAAGCTGCATGATACATGTCATAAGCCCATCTCATATGTAACTATATCACTAAACCCTTTGACTTGAGATCATCATGGATTCCTACATGATGACCACTGAACTTTAACCTAATCAAAAGTCACCTTTGATCGGGTGATCATAAAGGCTATGATTGAGTTTAGTGATATTCATACAGAGGAATATGAGTGGTCAAAATGGAATTTATCCCCCATTAAGTGAGAGATATTACTAGGCCCCCTCGATGAGTAAGACTGAGAAAATGTATGGCCGTACTACAATGGAGATTTTTTTCATTGCTACTGTCAGTCTACTTAGAGATCGAGAAAGTAATGATCAGATAAGGAGAATGACAATTCTATGTCTTGTACTTAACCAAAATATCGCGTGATAAAAGAATATGATATGGTTGCACGATAGGTTACATTGAATCATCAATCCTCATGTGAATTGGATAGTTGCAATGTCTTGCTAAAGGCCACTTGTAAAATGGGCTAATAGCGTAATTAGCCTACTGCCAATTTCATACGGGCCTACAGGATGCGCACACAACAGCCCAACTCGAGCTATAATGTCCAAGTTCATTGAATCTACAATATGTCTAGATTCAATAAATGTAATATAGGGGTGAATGAATTATATATATATATATATTCAAAATATATATATATTCATATATGTAATAGATATTGAGATATGATATATAAAATTACATATAGATAATCTATATATATATCTATAATATAATATGTATATCTCTCTATACATATTATATTATCTATTTATTATCTCCTGTTTAGTTTTTAAATTTCTTATGTTCTGATAGATTAAATTTAATAACTAACATGATATAAGAGAATATCATGTCAGTTTTATAATTTGAATTTATAAGATAAATTCGAATTAGATATAATATTATGGATTAAATTTATGAGACACATTTAATTACATTGTTCATAGGCTTTTAAGTGGAAAGACGACGCAAACCTTATCTATATACTATATATAGATAGGGACGTCCTTTATGTAGGATGTGAGTTAGAAAAGTTCCGACAGCAAAACTCTTTGAGAGCCACGAAACACCCTATAGAAAGGAAAATTAATGTTTTAAAGAAGAACGAGGCGTTGAGAGTGCTGGCACGCTAATCGAGTTAGAGAACTATTCATGTGGATACCAGTAGAGGGAGCAGATCTACATTATCAGCTTTTAAGATCCAAAACTCTTGAAAAGAATGTGCACTAACTTCAAAGAATTAAAAGGGTAACTCTTCTATCCAATTTGAGTAAACGAGTTCATTCAGTCCATATCAGGATAGGAACTTTAGAATTTAATCTCCGCTACGCCTCTCTATCCAACAGGCTAAGGGATACTCTTAGTACAACCCCTAACAAAAAAATGGGGGAAAAAAACTAAGCTCATACTCTAACAAGGCTTGTTACAGATGACACTCAAGCATAAAGAAAAATGATGAAGAATGTTGAACTTCCTCTACGCCCAACCAGGTGTTTGGGCTCTTCACATTAAGCAAACTAGCATTAGAGCTCTTCACAACAGCTGCAAAGTGCCAATGAAGACCCAAGAAATTTTTAGTAGAAGAGAAATGAAGGGGGCTGCTGTTGGGGTGTTTCACTCCCTCACAATACTCCACTTTCTAGGCGCCCCCCCCCCCCAAAAAAAAAAAACCAAAGGAAAAAAAAAAGTCACTCCCCAAATATATACGGCGTATAGTCCTTCTCTCCATCTCGCGGCGGATAGTCCTTCTCTCCATCTCGCTCTCCCTCGCTCACAGTACTTACGCATTCCACATGGCTTGGACTCGGCCCATTACATAATGACTCATTAGCCACGGGATCCATCAGTATTGAAACTCTGTTAGCAAATACAAGTGCAGTGTTTTAGTAGAATCAGGAGATTCTCGTTCGGCCTTGGGAAATTCTTAGACTTATTCTGATTCTAAGAATTCCTAGAGAAATCCTTCTTTCTCAATTCTTGAACAGATTCAATCATCATACTGCACTAATATCTCGGTTGGTAGCAAGGAAGAGCTTTTGATGGAAGTGAAAGTGAACGTGGAAGTGGAAGTGAAAGTGAAATTGGAAGTGAGATAAAAGTATGTTTTGGTATGCAAAGGGAAGTGAGATATAAATTTTATTCAAATAAATATATTTATATTTTTAAAATGACCAAAATACCCAAAAAATAAAAAACCTATTGAAGCAAAGCAAGCATCACCGTCACCGCTGCTCCATCCTCAACGTAGCCACTCCGTCCTCCCACAACAAGCATCGCCATGGACACCAAAGGTTCCACCATTGACAATGTTCGCTTTATGCACTAGAAGGGTGGCACTAAAGCTTTCAATTTCCTTCTCATGTTGTGAACCCTCACCATTCTGCCCTTCACCCTGAAATCCTACACACACAGATATATACCTTCAGAGCAATAACTAGATTTACAAATATATGAGATCTTCTACAATAGCATCAATAGGAAAATAGCACAGATGCACTCCTCCCCTCCACCGCTGCATCCTTCTTCAACCAAGATTCACGCCTACACTAATTTTATTTAATATCATTTCATGTAATATTATATTTGCACAGATGCGATATATGTGCATGAATTTGTGGAGAATGGGATTGGGGAATAGATTGGCAATATTGGAATCGAGAGATCAAGCCCGGTGACAGAGGTGTAAGTGCGATGGGTGTCGGACTAGTAAGCAGAGGTGGGCATTGTCGTTGTTCCGGAGAAGAGGGAGGAGTGGGTCATTCATTGAAAGTTGGAACATGGCAGGAGAGAGTTTGAGGGTAAAGATGACAAATAAGAGAGGAAATGAGGTAGGAACTCAGTTCCAATGGGTCTATCTAAGGAACCCAATTCCACCAGATTTAATGGAACTCACTTCCCTAGAGAACCCAATTCATGCACACCAAAACATACTAATTTATGGTTTCCACTTCCACTTCCTTTTCCTTCCTCTCAATTTCCTTGCTACCAAACGGGCATAAGGACACAACAATAATTTTCACCAATTAAATTCTAGCTTACCACTGGGCAGCAAGTTCACTAACATTTTAAGATTCATGGGCTCACCAGTTCGATGCAATTCTTTTAAGGCATGCCCACTAGGATAATTCCAGTATGAGGCCATGAAAGTTGTAATGGAGCATCCTACACTACAAGATATAAAAATAAGTACACAATTGAAGAATACAACCATCACAAACAAAACAAATGACTAGTAGACCAACCTGACTGACAATAGTCCCAACAAAATGAAGAAAAGCAGGGTCCAAAAAGGCTTCTTTTTATTGTTGTACTGAAACATATCAATAACACGTGATTCAAGTTGGTAATTCCTAACATGAAAAAGCACATGACCCAGAGATCAGACAAATTAATTATTCAATGAAAGAAGTCTCTTCCATTTTAAGTCTCCATTATAAATGTAAATGCACTTAAACTCCAATACCCTTCCCTCCCCCAAAAGTAGATAGAAAAGCATGTGGAAGATAGGTAGCAAGAAAAATCACTGGTTATATACTACAAGTTAGACCAATGCAAAATCATGACATCCAGAATGGAAAATATTAATACATATCAGCCCAATGAATTGTCACTTTAAAGCAATGCCATGTAATGCAATTACGCAAATTAAAATGTTCAAGAAATATTTTTACATGCTTGTTTCACAATAGACCAACTTGCGTACTCGTGTACAATACAGTTCAAAACTTGATTGCTTAAGAATACATAGATTTCATTGTTGTCCCTTCAAAACTTGGATTGATTTGATTGGTTCATTAAAAAAGTTGTCACATTTTTCCATTCAGTTCAAAATCAAAGAAAACCTTTGAAATAAATCCTAGTCAGACAATGGTTACATAGCAAATCATTTCAATGAAATTGGTAGTAAAGGTCCACGAGACTTGATGATTTTGAGAGACTTAGGAAACAGCTGAGAGAAAAAAGTAAAAGGTTAAGGTAATCAATTTTTTATTTTTTTAATGACATGATTGAAGATTGTTCATTTTATCACATCATGAAATCAAAATTTTATATAGTTTTAATAAGCAAGCAATGGTTGCAACCTTAGACTATATTTAAAACAAAAAACAAAAAAACAAAGACAATTGTTGCAACGGGATCTAACATTCTGTTAGCTGCAATTGAAGCAGACAGGGTAAATATTGGAACTGAACTTACTATGAAACGAAGCTCCTGCAGCATCAATCAAAATGATGATGCAAACATGCTATAATATAAAACATGCACAATTCAAGCTATGAGTTCAAATGGCAATGCATCCTACCTTGTGAGGAAGCTTGGAGTAAATTAGAATAAAGGAAAGAACTGGAAAAATAAAAGAATCGACCCTTCCGTCCAGAAAAAGACTGAGCTGAAAAGAAAACAACCAACCAAATTAGGAAAAAGTGATGGGATTTTCATTTTTTACCATTCTTTTTATACTCTTTTTGGTTCTTGGTTATTTTAGAAGAGGAAGAGGAATGAAATGCCTCAAGTACTAGAAGCAGGTTGGCAATTACTTAAAAGCAAATGGTTGAATCTTGACATCCATCACTCAAATTATATATATTCACTGTTCATTGACATTTCCATATTCCATATAACGGAGATGTTTCTTTAGAAATGAACGCTAGTGACGCTTAATGATGACCATCACAATAATAATCTCACAATGAAAACATAACAAGAAACAACACAACTGATGAAAAGTGATTGTTCATAAACATCATCCGAAATAACATCCTTGCCCTCGAAAAAGCAATACTCTAATGTGAAATAATCTTTAAACTGGAATCAAAAAATCAAGTGCACATATCATGGCATGGCACTAATAAAAACGAAAATGGGCTTGGAAAAAGTCTTTCTATCCCCATTCATTCTTATAGACTATTCCCTAGCTGCACAAACTTATCCCTTCTCTAGTTCAATTTATCATACCAATGATGCATTTTACTACGACAAATGCTATGTTTATTGCATAAGAAAGTCCATATCTCCAATTTTCCTTGCAACATGACTGCCAAAAACTAAATAGTCTTACAACACAATAAATGAGATCTTCCAAAAGTAATGCAACTAAGAATATGATGAACCCCGGTCTAATGATCCACGATTGATGAAGTGAGAGAGAAAAGGAGGGAATAGGCTAGTGCAGGGGTATGTATGTGAGGAAATGGGTTAGCGTGAAGGGATAAGCATTTAGTGAGTAAATAAAACTGAAATGAAATTTTCAAGAAAAGATAAGTATAGACAGGAAATATTCTACAATTAATATAGTTAATTGAAAAGTAAATGAGTACCAAGAAAAAACAGTTAAACCAAAAGAGCTCAAAACAATGAAATTTTAGGTTCAACGTCATAGATGATAGACAGGGAATCAAAAGTAATGTTTCAAAAAGAATACCCAAAAAGTGTACTTGTCAAAATATAATTATATATAACATATACATCGTTATTATCAGGTCAATGGAAGCATAAATGAGCCATTAGCCAAGTTAGCAATTATTAAGCAGCCAGCGCAATATCATAACAGGCGACAGATTTTTATTACCCAACACCCACCAGGGAAAGAGGATATGCAGCAAGCAATGACGAGGGAGCGCTGAGGAGAAGTACCAATGAAAAGCATGTGTCTAAACAAATATTGTAAAGGAAATAAACATGTGGGAAAAATATTATGAAAGCTAACAACAGAACATGGCCAAAATTTCAAGCAACTACCATAATTAGAGCATAATAACCATGACATAAAAGCATTGTCACACATTAAAGCACAAATGCCCCGGATGTCCAAGGCAACGTAAACTAAACTTATAAAACCCCATTACAATTGTAAATCAGAAAAGTGTGACAAAATGCAAAATTTCAGTCCACAAGTGCCTCTGTGCAAAAGGGTTTCTAGCACATTTGGCATTCAAAGGATTAAGAAAAGTTGAAAGAAAGTGTGTGCAAGCACAATTCAATATCCCTTCAGTAGGATAGCTGGTGACTTAAATTAGTAGCCTGAAATTATGCTTTCCACAGTGAAGCTACGATAGAAAGATTCATATTTGAATGTTCAGGGAGGCCCATAGCAGCAAAAAGGATATTGGTTTTATGGTTAATTCAGACATTATTGCATCTTTTGAACATTCCATGAATAGAACTTTCAGTTTGATAGGTTTAGGGCCAAATAAAGCAATGAATAGGATATTTACAAGGATAATATTCTTAGTTATGGTAGGGAAGAAACCAGACTGCCCCTACCATAAAACTAAAGAAAACAGGGGAGAAGCTAAAAAGATGAAATGTTCCCAGGTTGATTCCATGGCAATGATAAATTTCCAGAATCAGTCAAAAGTGGAGGTCCAACAGCTGGTGGATTGAAACCAGAGAACATCCATGGTACTGTGTAGATAATCTTGTTAACCAACCAACCATGCCTTATTTTCATCCTGGGGTACTGTTAGCATTTGAAATAGAGTTTTCAAAGCACATCTTTGTTATGGAATCAGAACTCATTTCTCATCAACAATGTTTCACATCATTAGCTTGTGTTTTTTTTAGTTTTGGTGGTAGCCTAGTAGATTTTGGTGTATTTTTTTTTGTGGTTTTGTTATTTATTCCATTATGAATTATGATTGTAAGACAGAGCATCAACCCTCCTTCAGCCATTTTGCCTGTGTGAAAAGAGGAAGATGATTGCAATCAGATTGAAGCAAGACAACATGCCTGTCTCCGTTAGCCTAATGAATCTATGGGAAATCAAACCTAATCGAATTAAATTAAACATAACCAAACAGACTTGACCGATTTATAATACAGGTAAGCTTACAATTCACTCAGGCAGTTATCTAAGAATATGTTAGAACCAGGCAGGGTCTTTGAAATACTGCAATAAGCCCCATAAGCATAAACCTATAAACAAAATAGAAAAATGAGAAACTTTACCTGCAACGTCTCGCTTCATGCTGCTAGTGCAGCCAGCAATCAGCATCAAACTTTGCCCATAACATATACAGAACATAAATATCTACATTCTAGAGATATACAACAGTGCAATAAAATGACTTTGAATAAGGATACACCCCATTCAGAACGTCCTGTTAAGCACTGAGTTAAACCAAAATACTTCAAATTCAGGCCACAATAACCTCTTCCAGAAAACTGAATCAATCAACACAGTAAGACCTGTTGAGGGAACGATAGTCTCAAGGTCAGAACTTTAAAAAAAAAAAAAATTCCATGATAACTATACATCACATCAGGTGAGAATTTTTGTTGACCGGAATTCAAAAGGCTTTACTTCACCACCTATACTCAAAAAAGCCATCCAATGCTGCATTTCAGGGCATCCCATAACGAAATCTCTCTTGTCTTCCCTTCAAGTGATGGCTCTTATTAGGCACAAAGCTTCATCATTATAATTTAAAATTCAAATTGTCACAGCAGCTTTAACTATTTTACTGTAATGCCAGAAGGATCAGAGGAAGAAACAAGAGGCATATTCAAAAGAAAAGAGTGAGTTAAAATTCTAAATACAAGGATTTCACTCAAAAGAAATTTTATATGAAAGGAGTATAATGTTCAAAATGAAGGAAAGTAGTACACAAATTGCCCAAGTACAAGATTAGAAATGAACATTTACATTTCAATTTTAGATAACGCTTAAAACCAACAAAATGAGAGAATAGGGGCAACAAAGAGAGGCAAATTGAATTAACAACTTAAAGAAATTATAAAAATAGGCTAAGTACAAGTTTAGCACAACAAATGTAAGCATCCACATTGGTTGCATGACAGTCATCCTTCAACCAAGCCATCATTATTAAGCCAACAAGGACTCTCTATAGAAGTGGGCTTGCTCTCTTAGGCCCCATTAGAAAGAGTCTGACCTAAATTACCTAATATAACCTGATTTTAGGATATTTCCTATTTAACTTTTATATCTCCAAATATTTGGTTCTTTTCTATTTAGATCTATTTTCCCTAATCTGATCAGATTCGATCGTATCCCTGGTCTCTATGTATGTACTCTGGTGTCTCAATGAATAAAGACAGAAATTCTACGCAAAAAATCTCATGGTATCAGAGCCCGCCGCAACATGATGGATTATCGCACAACACTATGTTTTTCTGAAGCAGGTCCCTGCTACAAATGTGGATCCAGCTAATCCTCTAGCAAGTAGAGGCTCGTCGTCCCAACATTCGAACTCGACAGGAGAAGATGGGGCTATTGTCCACTGCAATGGGCTTGTCTAACTTTGCACTACACCTTGTCTCGCACTATCTTACTGAGCATAACTATCTCCAGTGGTCCCGTAGTATGCCGATGATCATATGTGATTGACAAAAAGAATGTTACCTAACATGGGTTCCTTCCACCACCAAAATCCCTACAGACCCGACATATGACAAATGGTGTGCAGAGAATAATTTGGTGATGGCCCTGGTTGATTCACTCGATAATGCCAAAAATTAGTGAAAATTATCTTCTTTTTCTACCTCTACCAAGGAGATATGGGACTCAGTCAAGACAACCTACTCTGTTAAGGACAAGGCAAGCCATATTTCAAGTCAAGCGTCAACTATGGCCACTAATTCAAGGTGATCTTTTTGTCACTCAATTCTTTAGTGCATTAAATGCTTATGGCAACAAATTGATCTATACGAGGTTCATACTTGGTTGTGCACTAAAGAAGAGTTATACTGCAAACAACTAGTTGACCGAGAACGCTGTTATGATTTTCTTTTAGTCTTAAAGATTCATTTGAAGAAGTTTGTGGCCGAATTAATGAGTGCTAAACCACTGCGCGACATGGAAGAGGCGTCAATAGGATTAAATGTGAAGAAAGTCAGAAGGTAACTGATAGAAAACATGATGGCAAACATTACTTTAGAAGGAAATAGTTTATTAGTTCTTTTTATTTGCTTTTCATTAGTTTATTAGTCTTTGTTGCTTTCACACTAACTTTTTGTAAGTTTCCTTCTTGTGAAGGAAACCAGGCAGCAAATGGGTAGAGGTTTCCTTGTTAGGAAGGAAATCTCATACTTATA